AGAACTAAGAGAAGAACTAAGAGAAGAACTAAGAGAAGAACTAAGAGAAGAACTAAGAGAAGAAATAGGAGAAGAACTATGAGTAGAACTAAGGGAAGAACTAAGAGAAGAACTAAGAGAAGAACTAAGAGAAGAACTAAGAGAAGAACTAAGAGAAAAACTAGGAGAAGAACTAAGAGAAGAACTAAGAAGAACTAAAATGAATTTAAAATATTACAAGAAATACTTTATATACATACTTTTTTATATATGCACCATAACAGAATTAATAAGTAACTTGAATGTTCGTTTCAAAGTCCGTAGACTTTTTACGTCTCTGTTTTCTGTTTCATATTTTATGGCAGACTTAAATGCAACGCAAACAATTATATAAATAGAAAAATGTTTGTCAATTATTAAATATATCAAACATTATATAGAGATATATAATAAGTTATATAGTTCACAGCTAATACATATACGTTACTAATGCGTTTTATTGCCGCTTTAACTGCTAATGTGATGTTAATGAGTCGCGTTATTCGCGTTACGCATTTAATGAGACACCGCAGGACCTATCCCGGAACAGGTGAGTCAATAGGGTGAGTCAGGCGCCTGTGTTAGCAGTCATGGGGTGAGTAATCGTGACTCACCCATGATTCACCCATGAATCACCCATGACTCACCCGTAACTCACCCATGAATCACCAATGATTCACCCATGACTCACCCATGACTCACCCATGACTCACCCATGACTCACCCATAAGCACAAACTTATTAGGCTCTAATTAGGGAGACCTAATTAGACTTTAATTCAACCTAGTTAATAATAACGAACTAACTTAAGTTATTGAAGACATTTATTACTTGAAAATTAGTTTAGAATTTTCCATCGCATTTTGTTTTTTCAGCGAAATTTTCAAACGAATTTTTTAAAATCTTTATATGAATTTATCGTACGTTAAATTTCTGCAACATATGGGGTTAATCACACCCCCAAATGCCCCCCACCCCCTCGACTAGGGGGGGAGCCATTACAGAGGGGGGTGAGAGGGGGGGCAGGAAAGGGGGGTAAAGGTATGCTGGTTTGGTGCCGGCGCGATGCCGACGCGTTACGTGCAAATTAAGAAAATTCCTCGCACACTTGGCAGCCTCCGCCATGCCGGCCATGACACCGTGTACAGTACACGGTACATTATACAGTACATTATACAGTACACGGTCCTGTAATTTTCACGTATGAATGTATTAAGTCCCTCGTGTACGAATTCCCTCGCACGGGAATAACCCGCACGATGGCAACAGCAGCTGCAAGAAATGACCGCGCGACGGCAACACCGACCCTCAGTCTATATATATGAGAGCGCCGGAGCGGCGACGTGCACCCCCCACCGCAGCTCGAGCGACACTGAGGGCAACCGCAAGCGCTCGGGGGGGCTAGGGAGGGGGGGGGGCAGCGAGAATGGGGGGAGAGGTGAACATATATAAATAGGGGGTAAAATTTAGGTGAACAAATTCCGGAAAACTTTCCGATATTTTTTNTCACCCATGACTCACCCATGACTCACCCATGACTCACCCATGACTCACCCATGACTCACCCATGAATCACCCATGACTCACCCATGAATCACCAATGATTCACCCATGACTCACCCATGACTCACCCATGACTCACCCATGACTCACCCATAAGCACAAACTTATTAGGCTCTAATTAGGGAGACCTAATTAGACTTTAATTCAACCTAGTTAATAATAACAAATTAACTTATGTTATTTAAGACATTTATTGCTTGAAAATTAGTTTAGAATTTTACATCGCATTTTATTTCTCCAGCGAAATTTTCAAAAGATTTTTTAAAATTTTTATTTGAATTTATCGTACGTTAAATTTCTGCAACATATGGGGTTAATCACACCCCCAAATGCCCCCCACCCCCTCGACTAGGGGGGGAGCCATTACAGAGGGGGGTGAGAGGGGGGGCAGGAAAGGGGGGTAAAGGTATGCTGGTTTGGTGCCGGCGCGATGCCGACGCGTTACGTGCAAATTAAGAAAATTCCTCGCACACTTGGCAGCCTCCGCCACGCCGGCCATGACACGGCACCGTGTACAGTACACGGTACAGTACAGTATACGGGTCATTATACAGTACACAGTCCTGTAACTTTCATGTATGAATGTTTATTGTGTGAATGTATAAGTCCCTTGTGTACGAATTCCCTAACACGATGGCAACACCGCGTAGACAATATAGAGGCAACAGCAGCTGCAAGAAATGACCGCGCGACGGCAACACCGACCCTCAGTCTATATATATGAGAGCGCCGGAGCGGCGACGTGCACCCCCCACCGCAGCTCGAGCGACACTGAGGGCAACCGCAAGCGCTCGGGGGGGCTAGGGAGGGGGGGGGGCAGCGAGAATGGGGGGAGAGGTGAACATATATAAATAGGGGGTAAAATTTAGGTGAACAAATTCCGGAAAACTTTCCGATATTTTTTAATAGATTAAACAATAAATAAATTAATTACTTTGAGTTAAAACATGTTCACTTTTCCTAGTCGAATATATTTACATTTTATTGGTATAAATATGGTAAATAATATTGCTATTGTATAATATATACCAATAATTGTACGTGAAAAATATATAATTTTTACTGGTCACAAAAAATTAGTAGAGCGATTAATGATTATAAAACATTTTTGCTGTATACACCTACTTATTTTGTGGGTCAAACCAAAAATTTAAAGGGCGAGTAAAAGGGCAGTCTTTAATAATATAATATAGGTCAATAATACTAATATAATATAATATAGGTCAATAATACTAATATAATATAATATAGGTCAATAATACTAATATAATACTAATAGAACAATAATCCATTTTTCTGAGTGTACTTAAATTCTGCGAGCAAACCCCGTAGATTTATAAGGTATTTCTTACGTATTTTCCTCTGGGCAAAGAATATACAATATAGTGATAATATTTATTATTTTTTAACATTATTATACCGTCTGACATTTATTTAATATTCATCTGATATAATATGATGTGATATAATATAATATGATATGATGTAATATAGTATAATATAATATAATATAATATAATATAATATAATATAATTTAATATAATATAATTAAAAAATAATTACAATCCCTAACATTCCTTCACGCCCTTAAAAAAGATCATAACGAAATTTATTAACAAATTAAGTTTTTCTATATACCCATTTATGGCCAGGCCATAATTAATGTATTCATCCTTATTTATGGGCCATAAATGGCAGACACGACGCCATAATCCTTATTTACAGACCTTAAATGCAGACAATGAACATTTACCATAACATATGTTATGGTAAATGTTCAATTTAAATTTAAATAATAAATATATTTAATAAAATAATAAATAATAAATATAAATTTAAAACGTTTTTTAAACCATCAATATCACAAGTTCGTGATTTAAGTAGTTTATTAATGTGTTTATAATTAAAATTAATGTCGACGTGCTGTAAAATTTTTAATGTCTAATCAGCTGCCTAAGTAGCGCCAGGCAACAGGTATCCTCCCGTTAACCTCCTGCCTAAGTAGCGCCAGGCAACAGGTATCCTCCCGTTAACCTCCTGCCTAAGTAGCGCCAGGCAACAGGTATCCTCCCGTTAACCTCCTGCCTAAGTAGCGCCAGGCAACAGGTATCCTCCCGTTAACCTCCTGCCTAAGTAGCGCCAGGCAACAGGTATCCTCCCGTNTATAATAATAATTATAATAATATTAATATAATAATATATTAAATTATTATTAATAATATTAATTTAATAATGTTACTAATATAAAATTATTATTCAAAATTGACATTAAACTTAATGATTGTAATGGTAGGTAGAAAATAATCACTCAAATAAATAAAGAGATTTTGTACAAATATCGATGAAATTGCTGCCTTTAAGTGGGTCATCCTGACACAGTTTAGCCGGGCAACAGGGCGTATCTATGATACGTGCAGAGAGTGTGTCACCATATATGGCGACACACTTTATATAGACTATATTGCAGGGCATATCTTGTACAATATATTAATATAGACTATAACATCTACAATATATCAATATAGACTATAGCATAGACAATATATTAATATAGATAATAACATGTACAATATATTCATTTAATCTATAACATAGACAATATATCAATATAGACTATAACATAGACAATATATTAATATAGACTATAACATGTACAATATATTAATATAGACTA